AAATATATAAATACAATAATGGTTAAAATACAGGGTGTCCCATGAGGTTTTTCCCAAATGATAACTCCAGAACGCATTCTCGTATGTTCCACTGTATAATTATTTTGTATCATTTTCTTTAACAAAGCCTTAACAAAGGACCACACACGGATCTTATGAGAAAAAATAAATTTCACGATTGTTATGAAATTGAAATATGTTATGCTTCTCGACATTCTGAACGTAAGTTCTCGTAGGCCCAAAAAGATCCTATGATTAGTTTCGGAGATACAGATAGAAGATAGAAAATTTTGACAAAAAATAAACATTTCGAAATATGTTGATTTCAGATAATGACATATAATTCTAGGTTAAAAACGGGTGGAAAAATGCCAAAGAAATGTCATTTGAAGCTTTGAAGGTTGAAAACTTGTCGAAAAATGCCAAAAATATGTCATTTTTGGTTATGAATTAAATTAATGTACCAGCAGATTCTGGAGATTTTTCTTGTACTACTTTTTTTTCTCGGTCCTGTATCTCCGAAACTAATCATAGGATCTTTTTGGGTCTACGAGAACTTAAGTTCAGGAGGTCGAGAAGCATAACATATTTCAATTTCATGACAATCGTGAAATTTATTTTTCCTCATATGATCCGTGCGTGGTCTTTTGCTTTGCTTTGCATTGCCGATTTTGTTATTTAATTTTTTAACGAAAAATGCCATAATATACCATGAGTTACATTTAAGATTCGAAAGTTGACGTCACTTGATAGAAATTGAAGCGAAAGTGGTGAAATTGGATGACATTGGTAAAAGTGGCACAAAAAGTTACCCAGATCCTTAAAATTTCAATTATATTGGATAACGCATTCCGAATTTATTACTTGGGAAAAGCGTCGTGGGACACCCTGTATATAAAATATTCTCTTGAAAAAAATAATTAAGACATGCCTTGGGGGGGGGGGCTGCAGCCCGGCAGCCCCCCCCCCCTGGATACGCCTATGCTAATTCTTATACTAGTTGTGTATTTATGGCAAACGAAACATAAGTCGATCCCCCTGAAAACTCTACAGGACATCATCAACGAGGACGTTGAAGAATTTTAAGGGAGGAAGAGTTATAGACATGAACTAATATGTAAACTGCCAATACCAGAAATATATAGCACGACTTAGCATAATCCTAGAATAAGCATATTGTGTATTTCATTATTTCATGGGAACTTTTTCCATAGAATAAGTTAAGTCTTTAGTCGGACACTGTACCAGTAAGTTGAGTCTTATTGAAATAAATCTTTTTTTTTTTTTAAAGATTTTACTGGGTTGAGTATTTAACTCTCTATGATCCTAGCTTCTGGCCCCAATCAGTGGGCATAAAACGATTTAATTTTAAAAAATACAGATCCTTCTTAAAGGAAACAGGTAATTTTTTCATAAATAAGAGCCCAACCAGCCTTCAGTCCCATGCAACCAAGTGCACTGAAAACCTTATCTTCAGCATATTTTATGTAAACATATGTTCAATAAGGAATAAAGTAGGCAGAATTGAGGCCATGATGGCTCACAGAGGCAAGTATGATCTATGCTCTATCGAGCATTGCTTACTGGACGATGAAATTAAGCATCTCAAAATTACAACATTGGATCATCATAGACAATAGTAAGCATAGAGGATCTGCCATTCTGTTGAGGCCCACCTGTGAATACAATCCTGTAGCCCAGATCAACAGGCTGTCAATTCTAGAACATTGCTAAGTGTGCGCAATCACTGTAGCGAAACTGGACTTAAGTGTGGTAACACGATACCGACAACCCAGTGGAAACTTTCGTATCTTCTTGGACGTAGTAAATAGCATTTCTCATTTTACCCTTAGCTTCAAGAAATATGTTATTCTATTTTTATTAGGGATTTTAATATTCCCTTTGAAAAAGTTTACGACCTAAAACATACTTTTCTAGATTTATGCCCTTAAAGAAAAAGTTTTCGTAAATACTCGCAAAAACTACCGGTTAGATAATGTCAGGGCCGGCTCCAGGACCCGTGCAGCCTGTGCACGGGTACAAGTACTTTTCACCTTCACTCTAAGTACATTTTGAGTTACTTGGTATTCAGGCCACGATACTTTGTGAATCATGTAATTGGACCTACTTGTACTCGAACTGTTCAAGAATATAAAAAATACCCGGTACATTTTATTGTACTGAGTAAATTTCAAAATAACCGAGTACATCTTTTTATACTCGAATACATATACCCAGGTATTTTCATTGTTTTCGAATACATTTGCAATTTATGAGTAAAATTATTTGACTCTAAGTACATATTTATTTGGCCACAAGTACATTTCCAGGAAAGTTGGGACCTGTTTCCACAGAAATCACTAACCAGTCAAGAAAAATGGGTGTTGGCGATTTGCACCAATCAAAAACGCTCTGACTGGTTTGTGATTTCTGTAAAAACTGTGACTTCAATTTTCTGGCATTTCTTGTGTAGCGTACAGATGCGTAGCATTCGTTCTGTTGTTCGTTGTGATTTGCAAACGAAAATCTTGAACTTTTCTGTACACTGTGACGACGTGGCTGAGAACGTAGATTTGAAAATTCTGAGCCCTTATAAACTCTGGACTCTGGCTAACCAAACCAAACCGTAAAATTGCTGAACTGATTTAGTAAACCAAAATGTGTTTTTCAATTTTTGATTTGTGAATATCTATACCGGCGGTTTGAGAGTAAATTCTGGAAAATCGGACAGAAGTGTGAAAGGGGATGTGACACGTGACCCATGCGCAGTGATTAATGCGCAGCTACATTAGCGCTTGCGGCCTGAGGTGGCATTAGACTTTTATGTAAATGATCAAGGGTGGTTCAAAAGAGGAGGTGCGTAACAACTTTAAGACGTCATTGATATGCAGGCGGCATTGTGTGGAATGTATTCATAAATGTACTCGTTACTTTGAGTACTTAGGTATTGAATATTTGTAATTGTACTCTGTACTCGAGTACATATTTTGAGCAAAGTACTTGTACCCGGTACCCAATTAAATTTTGCCTGTACTCGAAACAGCTCTGATAATATATAAGGACACCGAACAAAATTAAAATCAAAAGTAAGTTCAGCAAATAGGTAGTACTGAGGGTAGTACTGCAACTAGAAAGTAGGAAAGTAATCGGTACCTGAGAGGGGCGGCAAAAATACCTTTTGCACGGGGCGCCGAAATGTCTGGAGCCGGCCCTGGATAATGTATTTGTAAATTTTGATACTGTCTGTGATGCTGTTATAAATGTTTTAACGCAGATCTGTCATACCACGACGGTGCACTCGAAACTGATATAGATATAAGCAAAGTTACTGCCATTAGGAACAACGAACGAACGTACAAATAATGTAAAACCAACTGTCTAGTGAAAATTGGTCCTTTTTGGGTGACAACAATGATCCTGAGGAGAACTGCTCTTGATACCTGGACAGATTTTTTAGTTCCCTATTCCAACCCTCCAAACGGGGTTTTCTTTTTTTTATAGATTATTGTTTTCAAGATATAGGCCATTGACAGTTTTTGGTGGGACACCCGGTATAGTATTTAGCGTAATTTTCATGAATGACGATTCTATAAACTAATGTTTTTGCTGAAATATATTGAAACTTGAAACTCTGTAACGGATAGAGATCGTTATCCCTGACCCTATAGCTATGGCACTTGCTGTCTTCTTCTTTCTTTGCGAAATTAATAGAGATAGAGAAAATATATTGATTCGTTACAGAGTCCCAGACGAGGTGTCTTTTATTGATCTACCTATGGAAAAAAAATCACACTAGGCGATTAGATTTTACTTTTTGAATGAGCTTTATATTATTTCAACTATTTTTCTCAAGTTCCTTGAAGGGTTCCCCACCCCACGATGTAGATACAGCATTTTGGAAGCACCCTGTATACTTATTTTCTTACATCATGATGTCATAATCAAATTTCCTACTAAACTTGGAGGAGAAAAATTGAAAATAGCCATGATAAATGCGCTTGCAGATACTGCAAAATAGAAACAATTAAAAAGATACCAACAAGAATGAAGATCACTGGAGTAAATAAGGAGGTTGACAAAAATCCCCAAGACGTTGAAAGAAACCTTAGAAAAAAGAATAGATGGATTATTGTAGAGGATTAACTAACAATCACATTTAAAAAAAACATGAAAAAAAAAATGATAATCTTACAATCTATGTCGTGTGCTCAGCAGGCTTATACCACAAAGCAAGTCAGAAGAAAGTATACTTAGGTTGGCAAAGGTAAGTACTCAATATACGAAGACCTAAGTAATACAGAGATGTTTCTCCTGTCAAGGATTCTTCCACAAAAACATTAACTGTGATAAACTTATAGCATGTGCAAATTGCAGTGGAGAGGATGATGTTAATGAATGTGAATCAAACACAAAAAAGTGCAAAAACTGTTTAACAGCAAATAGAAATTACTCCATCAACTACGGCACTAATCACTCTGCAAATGATATCAGTTGCCCTCCCTACTAATACCATATAAAGAGTTGTAATGAATTTTTATTTAAAAATTAAAAGAGTTTCCAAAATCAGTATATTTAGGGATAACTGAGATGTTTCACCTTCTACAGTCTACAGAGTTTTTGAAGCTGCCTTAATCTCTAATGGATTACGGTACTGCTAGGCCAGAATATTATACATGATACCCCTTATTCCAAGCCTTATTCATTATCATTACTAACTACTTATACCATTAATAGTTGTAGGTACATGCAGGCATACTCATGCCTAGGTGCTACAATAGGAAATTATTAGGTTATAAAAAATATAACTGTGAATTGTACTGTTATTGTTATGTATACTGAAAATATTGAATAAATGATTATTATCTTGTATAAAATCTATAATCATTATCCGCAGGAATTTTCTCAACAACTAGTTTTGTAGCCCCAAATTTCAAATTATTTTGCTCAAGAATGTTGTTACAAAAATAAATAATGGAAACAAAAAACTCATAGTTCCTTACCAGTGCCAGATCTAATTCCTGCTGCACCTTCAAAATGTGCAACTCTCCTTTGTCTCAATTCGTTTTGAGTGTCTGCGTCCATTGTACGAATTATGGTATTCTCTTCCAGACTAGTTAAATTTAAGTGAGGCCTATCGATTTCGAGTTCTTCTCTATCAAAATTACTATTTTCCGAATCGATTTGTTCTATGGACGTCTGTGAGGTATTCGATGAGCTAGGCGTGATATTGGACTTTGGTTCAGCAGTTGACGTTTGAGGGGGAGTATTTGCTTCTTCTAGGTCTGTTGAGTTTGTTGATTCTTCAGTTTGCACTGATGTGGTATGGTTTGATGAAGGCTCTAGAAATTAAATTTTTGGGTAAAGCTTATATAAGACTTTCTTTGAAATAGAACTGTACCACCTGTGCAAGTTTATTTGATCACATTGTAGTATTTGTTTGTACTACTAGATCTGATCCTGTGATACAGGTACCTAAATGACTGGTACTAAATATGATGCAAAACTAAAGGCTGAGTTCTACCATGAGATCAAGTCAGGGTCTAGTCACAGTAGTGATGTGAGTTGAGAATATTCCCATGCGAATATTCGCCAACATTGGGAAATTTCCGAGAATATCCGCCGATAAAAAATGGAAACGTTCTCCTGAATGAGAATATTCCCAGAGACTTTCAATCAAAAACTCTCAAAAGAATATTTCCGAGAACTTTTGAGAATATTTCCAAGAACTTTCTAGAAAAATTTTATAAAAGTGCAAGATTATTGCGAATACAAGGTCTCAGTCCCGGTCTCAGTGACGTTATTTCAATTTATATGGATGACGTAGCCCAGTCCAACTGTCTTTACGGAAACGCTGATCCGATTTACCCGATCACCAGCTGATGTACCTACAGTTTGTCTTTTTTTTTAAATAATCTTTATTGAAGACAGATAAAAAAATACAGAGCTGAGAGATTGGGTTAATCGGATCAGCTTTTCCTTTAAAGACTTATTCCACCGTCCATAAAAGTGTTTTTACTACATAGTTTAATTTTTAGCTGATCTTACAGAAAAAAATAGGTGTTTTTCTTGGTTTATAGTCTATAGTCAGTACACTACAATAATAGGTGCATAATGCTTACTACGATTTATCTGATTTAGCTATAAATTTGAAAAAAAAACAATATTTCCATAAGTTCCCGAAATTTTCCAATATTCCCAGAAAGTTTCCGAGAATGTTCGCGGCTTTTGAATGTTTCGGGAATTTTACATCACTAAGTCACAGTCAGATCAAGTATTATGGCATGTGTTTCAAATTACACTATCCACATTGCAAGTTAAAATGCATGGTTGATTAGATTGTGATTTGACCTATAGCATAGGTAAATCAGCCTTAACTGTATTGGCTCGTGTATTGGTGATCAGATCATCTCATACAGGATTGCTTTAGTATTTAATTTATGATTAGTTCTTTGAAACACTGTTTTAAGGAAAATTCTTGGCCAGGTGAGCTACTTTTGACTTCAAAAAATAGCCAAAAAGATCTGATTGAAATTGAAGGATTTTTGATGAATCATTGAAACAAAAAAAAAAAAAAATTGAAGAAAAACTCTTACCTCCTGATATTGCAATAGATTGTGTATGATTGGATAGCTGTCTAAACGGTAATCTAACACGTATTATTGATCCATTGGTATCAACTCTTCTGGTGCGGTTTAGAAGTAACACAGTCCTAAATCGTCTTTGCTCTGAAATATTGGTTGACCACCATGCAATATATGCTAAAAAAAAGTAGTAGGTAAGTACTCATGATTCCAAACATTTATCTGATTTTCTCCAAAAGTATAAAAGCTTCAACAAAATGCAATATTTGGAATATAAAAGCCAGGATTGAATCACAAAGCCTCATCTCCTCTTTGGGAGACTTGGTGTTTAAGCTGGATTTATAGTGCCAGTAAAATATTAAAACACGGCCGACTGTGAAGCCATTTATAGTTCACTTACCAAACTTATCAGTAAAACTTAAGAAATGGTTTTTTTCATATATCTATTCCTTGATCTATTCTCAAGTTTCAAGTTACTGTTACTGTTATTGCCTCGGTTATTGCTACTGACACTATACTTAAATCCAGCTTTTTATCCTTTAGGCTACTTGAGAAATTTCAAATATTGTTTATTGATGTTTTTTATCATTGGTGAGATGAAGTACTGATTGAATTAGCCTCGAAATTAGCCTTGTTGAAAACAAAATACAAACACAAGTTCATGAAAACTGTACAATTTAGGCTGTGTTGCATTTAGTTTAGAGCAACTTGTGCAAATACTAGGAGTATTTTTGGACTGATTTATGATAAAAAACTGACCAAAACCCCTTATAAAATTTTCACTTTCTTACCAATCAGTGCTGCAAAAAGTATTATGAAAAACTGTGTCACTTCGTCTCCGATACCTTCGATTAATGTCATTGTATTAGCCAAACCAAGGTTGATAAATGATGTGGTCCTATAGAAATACAACTTATGTAAAATCAGGCAATTCAATATAGAACCATAACAAATTATGTTTTTGTTCTAGAAATGCAGTGTCAGGTCGTTCAGGTCACACTCACCGTATGTTTATTTAAAGAAGAATGTTTATTTTCTTATTATATAAACAACAGATATCAAGTTCCATAGTTTTTTGTCAGGAATTAATTACTAATTTTAATTTTTTTTATTACATTTACAATTTATTTTCAATTTCAATTATTATGACAGTTGTTACTGTTGACGGTCTACCATAGACTGATAGCGTTTTCCATTTGTCGAATCAGGGCAAAAAAAATGTATCCTTATCCTTACATATTACATGCTTTTAGAAAAAGATGCGGATACTCAGTGCGGCACTGATGACAAATGGAAATCGCCATGACAGAACGTCAGAACAGAAGGGACAACGCTCCACACAAGAGAAGGATATCTTACTTTTTATTTAACGTACATTGTCTAAGTGACGTCACTAAAGATGCTAGCTAGAATCGTTTCGGACATAATAGTATACAGGGTGTATATTTTAAGTGATACCACTATTGCTATATCCGAAACGGTGAAAGCTACAAGGTTGGTTAAAATAGAGAAAAGTTGCCTTTTTTGATGCCCATTCAAGACTCGTTTACAGTGTTGCCAAATTCCTTTTAGTTTACGAAATACAGGGTGATTTCTAAAAAATGCCTAAAAATATTTCATCAATTATTTCGAGAACTATTGATTTTCGGAACACAATTCAAATTTGAAAGTTTTATAATTTTTTTGGCTCTACAATATGGCATCTTCAAATTTCGAATCCCACGTTTCGTGATTGAGCTACCATCTTCAACTTCATATTTTTAAATACGGACCTGAATTTTTTATGTCAGTTTCAGAAAGCACCCTTTATCCCCTTTTCAACGATATACCTTTTGAGTATGATTCGGATCTAAAAAGTGATCATCAGTGATTTTTACAAAAAATTTACCCTAATTCGGCCCTAGTTATGAACCTGTAAGTATTCCAGAAAAAGATAAAAGGAATTTGGCAACACTGTAAAAAAATCTCAAATGGGCATCAAAAAAGGCAACTTTTTTCCAATTTAACCGACCTCCGTAGCTCTTACCATTTCGGATATAGCAATAGTGGTATCACTTAAAATATACACACTGTATTGTTTTATTAGGAGTAAAATAGTATATTGTTTTATTAGAAGTAAAAATGGTAAAAGTGATACTTACTTTTTGTGGCGAGACTTAAATTTTTGACAATTTTAGACGAGGACCTCCAGGAACATTTTGAAAAAGCGCCAGAACCTTAGGATTCAGGTTAAAAGTTTCAAAATGCCTTCCAGATGGCGTTCAAGAGCGAATTTCAATTGCTGTAGTGTAGAACTTTAAAAAACCTTTAATTAGCATCCAAATCAGAATTTCCAGGAGCATTTTGGAACAATTTATAAACTTCAGAGATATTCCAGAACAATGAGGATTCAGTTTAGAACTGGAAAGCTTTTAGAACCATTTGAACAAATCTTAAACTAAAAACTACTAATACCGTCCAGAATAAACGCGACAATCTCTTTTCCTGAATTAAAGCAGTAGATTTCAGGTTTGATTCTGTGCGCCCTGGCGAAGGCGCCCCCGTAACACTGCCCTCCTCTTAAGGTATTTCGTCGGCCTAATCACGAATTTCCTATCGTTCTTTCTCCAGTATTCCAAACATCAGATCGCAAGGTAACCTGAGTTACCTTCCAAAAACGATTCTAGCTATGGACTTTCACCTGTTGACTCGTTGACAGCTGCTCTGTAAGCCATTAAAAATAGAGGCAATTGTTTGTCCCAATCTTGCTGGTTCTTTGCAACCACTTTTACTAGTTGTTCCTTTATATGGTCTCATTCTATCATGTCACCAGACTGTGCCTGTAATAAAGGATGTTGTCCTTGTCCTTGTCTTACGAATGCCCATGATCTGGTAAACTTTCTTAAAGATGGCAGATTCGAAGTCTCGCCCTTGATCTGAATCCAACTCTAGTAGCACACTATGACAACTGAAAAGTTCGTCCACTAGCACCTGGGCAATATTGATTGGGAATAGCGAAAACTTCTGGCCATTTACTGAAGTAATCCATGATAACCATGATGTATTTGTTACCACGCTCTGACTAAATGCACGATCCAGCAACATCTATCGCTATTCTTTCAAATGGGAGGCCGACGTTGTACTGTTTAATGGGCCCCGGCCCGAGATCTTAGTTTAGGGCCTTTACTGGTAGCACAGATGTCGCATTTCCAACGACTTCATCATAATGAACTTTGTGTAAAAACGTTCCCGAATATTGTCCTAATAATAGTCTTGTTAACTTCAAAATGTGCCCCTGAAGTTCCATCATGTATTTCTTTTAATACATCTTCTACTTTATATTTTGGAATAACCAATTAGTTGGCTCTTAGTAGTTTTCCCATCGGGACTTTCCCAAAATCTTTTCAGTATACCACTTTCTACGGCTAGAGAGTTCTACTGAACCCACAAAGCCTTGTAAATCAAACTCTTGTTGACACTTCCCTCCATTCTGGCCTACATTCATATTTTTCTTTGAGATGTTAAATTTTCCTGTTGTCCTGGTCTACCTCGCGATCTGCTCTCATTTGCTTGGTAGTCCATTTATCATCAACAATAAGACCCGTTCTTCTCACAGCTGGACCAGTGTTTTTCACATGCATATCGATTCTTTGACAATGCTTGCAGTCTTCTTTACATGGTCGTCTAGACAGAGCGTGGGCATCGATGTTTAATTTGGAAATCGTATTGCTGCAATTTCCCAATCCATCCGGCAAGCTGTCCTTCGGGAGTTTTTATTTCTAGAAGCCATTTTAGAGCTGCGTGATCCGTTCAAATTAGAAACTTACGTCCGTAGAGATACTTATGGAAATGCGCGACTACTTTTACTACGGCAAGCAACTCTCTTCTGGTGACACAATAATCTGTATTGGCTTTGTGATAAGGTTCTGCTGTAGAGTACTCTACAACATGCTCTTGTGAATTTTGAATTTGTGAAAGTACCGCTACAATACTAGTGTTCCTTGCATCTGTGTCCAAAATCAACATGCCCTTCCAATCGGGATAGAACAGAACAACACTGGGCTTGTACATAATACTCCTTTTAATTTCCTAAATGCGGAATCGTATTCTTGAGTCCAATTGAATGTTGATTTTTCTTCCGTTAATCGATGAAGCCGAGCAGCTATGTTAGCGAATCCTTCTACAAATCTTCGATAATAAAAACGTAATCCTAGAAAGCTCCTTAATTTCATGTTTGTCGTGTGGTTTTGGCCAATCCCTTACAGCATCTATCTTTGCTTCCATAACTTGTATGCCATCTCCAGATACCACGTGACCTAAGAATTCCACTTTCTTTTGAAATAGGAAACACTTATTTGGATTTAGTTTAAGTTGGCATTCCGGAAGCGGTCAAAAACTTCTTTTAGATTATTGAGATGTTCTTGGAACAAATTTCTCATGATCATGACATCATCTAAATATACCAGAAAAGTTTTCCATGTAAGGCCTCGCAAAACTAGATGCCTCAGTCGCTTAAACGTAGTGGGAGCATTACACAATCCGAAAGGCATTACGTTAAACTGGTATAACCCGCTTCCGGTACCAAAGGCAGTTTTCTCTTTTTCAACTTTGTGTATTGCCACTTGCCAGTATCCACTCCTAAGATCCATGGTGGAAAACCATTTGGAGTCCGATAAATTTGTTAATGTATCGTCTATCCTCGGGAGAGGTAAGCTGTCTTTCTTGGTGACGTCATTAAGCTTACGGTAGTCCATACAAAATCTAAAAAATAAATTCCATCTTTCTTCGTAACCAATACTACTGGCGCCGACCACGGACTATTTGACTCTTCAATAATTCCCTCTTGAAGCATTTTATCAATGTGGTTTTCCACTTCCTGTCGTTTAGCTACTGGCATACGTGGTTGTCTATGTCTGCTTCTTTCAAGATAAATCTTTGGCTTCTTGAAGTCTATGTGGGTCGAGGTGCTTCCATGATTTCTCCAAAGTCTGTATTAAGGTGTCTGTATCCAATTTCGGTTTTACAAAATGTCGTTTATCTGATAGGTGACAGTCTGATATCTGCTTAACTGGTTCGAGAGTTCCAATAATATCTCCTCACTTTATTTTTACTATTTCAGAAGAATGTTGGCAATTCTTACCATAATATCTCCATTTGTTCTTACTAGAGTCTTTCCAACGAGACATTTTTCTGGTTTATCTCCAATAAAATTATGTGTTAGTCCAACGCAGCTCCCACGGTTTGTTTCCAATTTTTCGCAAATGATCTTCTCATAGTACTTCCAGGAATCCTCGCCGGGTTTTTCGGCAGGATCTCAATAGCTTGAGATTCTTCTTGTGTAGTTAGGACAAATTCTCCATTGCCAAATTTAAGGATGTTCATAGAAGGATCGAAAGAGAAACCATGTTGGCCGATCAAATCCTTTCCCAAAATAAAATCATCCTCGACTAATATTCTGTGCCTAAAGATGGTAGATCCAAAAGTAAGCTCACATAGCTTCTCCTAGTTCTCCTTGAACTGGTGCGGATTCGCTCGTGACTGTTCGTAGTGAAAGGTTTCTAGTGAGCGGGTGGTTTGTCCAAGACTTGAATAATGTTTTCCTAATTATAGAAACTGCAGCACCTGTATCAAAAGTGATGCTTTTAAATTCTCCATTAATTTTGACCTTCCAATTTTAATCCTCTATTTTGACTCCCCAGAATGCCCAATGATTTTATGTAAACAAACCCTGGGGGCATCGTCATTACTAACCAGCATTCGCCCCTCCATACTGCGGTTAGTTCTCGTTTTCCTGTCTGTTATTAGGGCTGGCGTCTCTAGATCTCGAAAAGCGTTGATAACGATCCCTAGATGGAGAGGAAATCCTCACTCTACAATCTCGTTGAATATGTCCAAGCTTATGGCACCGGTAACATTCTG